CGGTTTGTAACTAGTTTTCAAGTGTAACGACATATTCAGATAGCAGTTAAATAAATAAAGAGATAAGAAAGCCTCAAATGTAGAACTAATTGTTCTGATTTTTTGTTGTTATGAGAAAGAATTAATAATTAACAATAATTAATAATTTTTTTTTAATTAATTATTAATTAATCTAATGATTATTCTATTATTCTAATTTATGATATAAATATTAATAATAATAATATTATAATAATATTAATAATAATAAAAATAATAATAATAATAAAATAATAATAATATAATAATAATAATAATATAATTAATAGAAGAATTAATAATTAATCTGGTTTTAATATTATATTAAAAATAAACAGTATTTCTGATATCAAAATCTATGTAAGTGCTAGTAGTGTTGTTCCTACTTAGGGACATTGTCGTAGAAGAGTGGCACCAAAATACAAAACTCCAAATTTTGCAAAGTAGGCACTCTTCGATTCTATTCGATCGTACAGATTATCTAGAGAATACTTTTCGATTTTTTATTAATGTATTAACATAACGACTCTCAAGTAAGAGCTGGAGAAGTTTTACACCGGCTTATGTAATGTAATTCCAAGTAATTCAATGTAAGTGCAAAATATTCACAGGTTCACTTCAGCGCCACAAAATTATTGATCCCAAATGTAATAGAGTTAAAAAAAAAGAAAGGGTATAGGGTATACCTTTGCCTTAAAGTGGGGAAAATGGTAAAAAGATGTATAGAGTTGAAAAAGGGAACTTTACTACTTTGCAGAAAACCTACAGCGATAGAATCTATACATTGCAATATCGTTGAAATTAGCATATTTAAGCTGATCAAAATTATAGTGAAAAATAAATTATTCATTGCAAGTCGAATTTCGTGTTATCCCTTTAAAATTCATCTCTATTAAGTACATATAATATATATTGTTTCGCAAGCGTAGCATATTATGACCTTGTTACTTCCGATTCGTCTGAAATTTTTTATATTAGGTTCTTAAAAAAAAAAAATATTCGAATCTCTGATAAAAATTTCAAAAATTTTTGACTAACTTTTAAATAGTTATAGTTAGTTATAGTTATAGTTAGCATTGTCTTAGCTTAAGTAGTCATTCTTACATTATAACATAACTGATTGAATTTTTTAAAAATTATGCAAATACTTTGAATTGTTTATAATAGATTATTAATAAACGATTAATGTTTATTTAACAAAAAATATTTGAAACATACATCAAAAGTTTTTCACTTTTTATTATATAAAAAATTATTTTTAATATAATTTATAAAATTTATTTGTTGTAAAATTTTATTAAGAATCTGAAGTTCCTCCTATGGCAACATTTTTAAAAGCATTTTTGAAAAATTAATTTCACATTCACCTCACATAATACATAATAAATTTTCCTCCGAAGTACAGGACATAGAAAAATTTCAGACGAATCGGTGATTATAAAATAAATTTTTGTCATATTCCGTTCCGCTTTTAAGAGAATGATCCAAATAATTATTTATCATATTGTCAAATACGAGGGTGGTTTGATAAGTCAGTGACTTTTTGAATTTCCCGCGCAGACCCGTTCTAGCAGCAGACAACCTCGTGAATTTTTACGAAAATGGAAAAAAGTGAATTTTGTGTGCTGATTAAGCATTACGATCCCAAATCCAGGAATTGGGATACGAACTGCTACCCCATCCAGCATATTCTCCAGATTTAGCCCCCAGCGACTATTTTCTGTTTCCTAACCTAAAGAAATGGCTTTGAGAAAACCTATTATTTGGAGGGAATAAGAAAATTAGAAAAATGCTGGACTAAATGTATCGAGCTAAAAGATGATTATGAAGAAAAAAATTTGTTTTATTCAAAAAGTCATTGATTTATCAAACCGTCCTCGTATACTTAAAAGACTTAATAGCTTATTGATTATTCATAAATTAAATGCACCCAACTTAAAGTATAATAAATCCATACAATATTTTTATCTACATCTTTAAGCAAGAAAAAGGCTTTTAAATATTTGAGATATTATTATTCTGAGTATTCCCCTTCTAAAGTTATTTTTTAAGCTTTACATAAGTATTGTTTAATTCATTGTGGTAACAGAATTATATTAAACTCGAACATAATTATTGGTTTTGAAAATAGTTTTTAATAATGCCATCCTGCATTTAATAAAATCCAACAAAAACCACTTTAATGCAAAATTAAAATCTGAAAATCTTTGTAAAGAAAATATTTGTTTTACTCAGCGGATTCAAAATTATCTTAAATAACGCATAAAATTGTTCAAATTCTATGTATGTAAAATATGTATATGAAGCATGGATTGAAAGTGTCTAAAATGTTCCATAGTCTGGCAATGCCAAATATCCTTGCGAAACATTTCAGATTTTTACTCATTGCTAGTTTGACAATGTCACGAAAATGTTTATGGAATTGGCTTTACGTATTCTGGAATTAAATTTACATAAATTCTTATGCGTTACTCTTGAAGGAGTGGAACGCAAACTAGATGAAAACGTAAGATACAAAAAGACACAAATGAGCACAAACTACAGTATTATCATCTGAAAAATCAAATATTTTAATATGAAACAAAAATGAGTAGAAAGAATATCCAAAAATAAAAGAAAAATCAGAAAATTGAAAGTCTCTCTAATGTCTATGCCGCTGTTAACACTTTGGCAAGAACACATTTGCGAAAGCAATCTAAACACCATTCATTGATTACGAGTTAAATGGACCGAGTCTATAAGATGCGACATGGTACACTGGCTCATTTTATAGATAAAATACACAAACGCTTAAGTCGTGTATGTATGCGCGTATGTACAGTAAATATATTTCCATTATTGGAGAAATTGTTTGTTAGTAGAAATCGTGTTGTGTTAATACTTTTATTATTATCAATTGCGATTTTGCAGATAAATACAAACTAATGTATTGAAAAGAATTTATTTGCACTGAAACTATTGTCAATGCCGCACGCAGTGGTGTATTGTGCTTTGAAAATTGTTTTAGTACAGAAATAAATTGCATACATTTAGGCTGATAACTACTTTATGAGCACATTTTAGCTATAAACAAAATGAATCCTATTATATAGAATCACTGCCTCTACGTTAGTTAAACTTGCTTTGTTATACTGTGCTCTGTTAATAAATCAGTTTAAATTTGTGCTTACATCAATTCAGTTTGTAAAGTATAAAATTCGTTGGTAAAACTTTAATCTAATCTAAACGAAAAATTTATGCAGCCAATCTTTTTAAATCTTTTAGAACGCGCACTGCTTAGTCTCTCACTCATAGTACTAACTATATGCAGAACTTGTAAATTTGTTAAAAATATGTCCTCTTTAGACGAGTGCACCCACACGTGTATATTTAACTCAATAAATTTGCTGTTACCGTTCCTGATGCAGATGCTGCTGCTAGCGCTGACGTTGATTCTGTTGCTGATGGTGATGCTGATGCTGATGCAGCAAAGATATTATGTGCACGACTTTTGAAATGTCTCCTACTGGTAACACCATGGTGAAGTCTTTGCACGCCTGCCGTGCCATTTCCCTTTGCCATTGCCACGTAAGCAGAGTGCAGACATTTTTAATGCATTAACCATGATTTTAGGAATAATAAAGTGTTAAACTCCGAACACCTGACGGTATTAAAGTTTTATAAAGTAAATTTTTTAAGTATTAGTGTTCGCATGAATAGGTGCGTGCTTGTTTGTGTATAATATTACTTACTCCACACGAATGTGCAACTGTTTGTATGCACATTTTTAGATACCTACATATCTATTTTTATGCATTACATAGTTAAGCTCTTAATGCAATGTCTTTACTAAAACTAGTGTTAAATTATTTTAAATGTCACTCTGAAAAAGTAATTTCTAACATGTTAAAAATAGAAATAAAACAAAACATCATAGTTGAAAGTTGAAAAAAAAAAATGTTTTGTATATACAGACACATCGTCAAATTACCAAATGCATCCTTATATGCACCCAAATGCATAAGTGTTGTTAGTATATATCCTATGTATGCTTGCAAAAGCTGTTTTAGCAAGACAAATCACTTAGTTGCCTCTTGCCAAGTGTTTAGTGTATTTTTGTTATTGTGTAA